CGCAGGGGGAGGGGCAGTCCCTGGGGGTGGCCCGTGTGCAGGACTCCGCTTCTTCGGAGCCTCCAGTAGCTCTTGCACTGTGAGACAGGGAGAGAGATAACCTGCTTGAGTTGGGGACTATTTAAGCATAAACATATGGCAAAAACCAGTTCTTAAAAATGTGCATGTTGTGTTTCCAGTATAACGGCGTACCGCTGAGACAGATTATGTGATATAAACATAACAGGTGTTTGGTGCATGGGGTAACAGTCATGAGGCAGGTTATGGAATATAAATGTACAGCAGGTGTTTGGTGCGTGGGGTAACAGTCAAGAGGCAGGTTATGAAAAATAAACGTAGCAGGTGTTTGGTGCGTGGGGTAACAGTCAAGAGGCAAGTTATGGAATATAAACGCAGCAGGTGTTTGGTGTGTGAGGTTTCAGTTGAGTAGCAGGTTATGTGACATGAACCTGACAGGTGTTTGGTGAGTGTTGTTTGTATGCTGGATTATATGACATGTACAGCTATAAGGCCGCTGTGCCTCAGAGTCACAGTCCGGGTCACTGTCAGCCCCCACCTCGGTTCTCCAGCGTTTTGTTCTGCTTCTCCACCTCCTGCAGCCGAGATTCAACCTCCCGCTTCTCCTCCTCCAGTAGCTCCATCTGTTTCTGAACTTCCGCCAGCTGCCTACGGAGGGCGCACTCCTCCAGCTCTACTTCTAGGGCCTTTACCTGAGGAGTGATGGAGGTCCTTCAAAAGCCAGAGCCAGATGTCTGCTCCTTTTATCATTTTTGAAATAAAATGCAGTCATATTGCTATTTAATGTTTTTTTTCTCTTTCCTGTGTCCATTTCTTTCTGACATCAAAGCCATTATTACTTGTATCACATCTAGATCCTGGGAACAGCCCATATTAGGAACCGCATGTCCATTCAGGCTGCAGATGGCCACACATCCAGAATGCACTTGGATTTGCATTTTTATCAAAACACTGCCATCTGCTGGCAGTGTAGGAAAGTTGGGAAAGACTGAGCTTTTCAAATGCTTTCACATCGGTCGGCTCGGGAACTGAGCAGGTCAGCACTCTGCTTTGGAGCATGAAATGATAAGGAGACGGAATTTCTCGATGGAGGACCGGTGCATGCAGGTGATGACAGAAAAAGTGGAGCCAGTGTTTGTCACCATTCAGGTGACAAGTTTTCTAGTGAAAACTGCACAACACATCATCTGTGCCCCCCCCCGATTTATTTATATCCCCTCTTGTAAATATTACCTCAAAAGCACCTTATACTACTATTTGCACTTCTGGTCAGATACAACACTGCATTTTGTTGTGCTTGAACTTGTCTCATGTGCAATATCAATAAGGTTAAATCTTAATCTTAATCTTTTGGGGAAATTGCAGCTGTGCCAGCTGGTGTTCTATGTTAGTGAACTTTGGGAACAACTTGTATGTGGTGGTTGCTGGAAGCAACCAATGTTCTGGGACCTCCTTGAAGAGCTTGGATCCTGGGGAAGCACTGCAGGTCGAGGTGCACGAGAGACAGTAGAAAGTGAACGGGCTTTCTATCGTCTCCATGCCTTCTCCTGGGTGATCTGACCAATCCCATTCCGCTCAGACAGAGCCCATGTCTGATTGGATGATTCTTATGGCTGCCATCATTTCCAAATTAACAGTTGGTTTTGATATTTCAAGCCCTAAAATAAGAGTTTTTTTTAGCCACCAACCATGTTGTGATGAACAGAAGTCGACCCACCAACTTTCAAAAAACAGTGGTCTGGGTTCCTGTAATACTACCCCAGGTAGACCACCAGTCCTTCAGGGATGTGAATACCCAGGCGGTGTGGGCTGGATGCCAATCTGATGGCCTACCTTCTGCTGGTGCTGCAGGCGTTCTTGCTCCAGCGTCTTGGTGAGGTGGGCCAGGTCCTCCAGGGCCTTCAGCAGCTGGAGGCTGGGCTCAGACTGCTGCAGCAGCACCATACTCTGCCGGTTGGCCTCCTTCTGTTTCACCAGCATCTGCACAATGGGGGGGGGGGGGGTCGATCACTTCAGCCTATCGACCCAGAGCTGTGCGTCTCCCCAAGCCGGCGGCACCAGTGAGGCACCACTTTAGGCAGACCTTGGCTTGTACACACACACTTAAAAAAAACAAGACCCTGAGCACCTCCTACAGGTTAGGAAGGGTACCACAGTCTGTAAACAAAAAATCAATATCCAAACACACCTGTCGCGAAAGCCGACCGTTTGATTATTAAAGATACCAGCAGCTTTTCAGATCATATTTTAATTTTAGACAGATATAAGTACAGCATTACATACTGTGTGAATCATTTCCCATCACATGTAATCCCTGTTTTAATTTGATAATTATAATTTGGTCTTGTTTGGCGGCTGGGTTGCCAGGTGCTACTGCCTCATATGAAGTCCAGGGCTTCGTCGATGAAGCCGAAGATGATGATGAGCAGGACCGTGAGCAGCAGGGCCAGCAGCAGTGCAGTGGGCCCACGGCCCCCGCAGCGCGACCTCTGACCCCGTACCTCGTGCGCATAGCTCTCCGCCTTCTGCCTCAGGCTCTGCTCCAGGTCCAGCTGTTCCCGCAAGCCCTCGTATTCCTGTGCAGCCATCATCGACACTGTTTATTTGTGCAGGGGGGAGGGGTGGGGAGAGAGGGCAGGGCAAAAGTCAGATAAGACTGTGCAAGCACATTAACACAGTATATAACCCTGTGCGGTCACAGAAAGCCAATATCAGTCCCTGTGCAGACACAGCAAGTCAGTGTAAGGCTTTGCGCAGACACATTAACACAGTGTGCAACCCTGTGGAGACAAAGAAAGACTGTTTCAGTCTCTATGCAGACACAGAGGGTCAGTATAAGGCCTTGTGTAGGCACATTAAAACAGTGTACAACCCTGTGCAGACACAGAGAGTTGGTGTAAGGCCCTGTGCAGACACAATAACACAGGGTACAACCCTGTGCAGACACATGAACACAATGTACAACCCAGTGCTGACACAGAGTTAGTGTAAGCCCCTGTGTAGACAGACACATTAACACAGTGTACAACCCTGTGCAGACACAGAGAGTTAGTGTAAGCCCCTGTGTGGACACATTACCACAGTGTATAACACTGTGCAGTGACTCTGTATTCTGTATTCTGAGTACATCTTGGTCGAGAAACACAGTATGTAAATATTTGAATCTGACCAATCAGCCTGCAGAATACCCCCTAACCCCCAGCGCTGTGCTGGAAATGCAGACTTATCTCTGGGGACCTGGGACTCTGTGCTGATGCTCCTTTATCTAGGTCACGGGAAGCACTGTGTTTTTAACACCGGGGGATTTCATGCTCAGTCTGCTGCACCAACAGAACAGACTGAGGTTCAGGAATAACAGTGTCACAGGTAGTTCCATTTAATGCTCCAGTGAATTATTTTACAGACATCCCATCCAGGGTGCACCCCTGCCTTGTGCCCTGCGCCGCCTGTCATAGGCTCCAAGCCCCACCCACATGACCCAAAGCAGGACAGGCGGTCGAAAGAAGGATCAGTAAATGGATGATGTATTTTAGTGATGCTGTGTGTTTGCCCAGAGACGTGTGTATGTGTGAGTGAGTCAGTGCAAACCAGATGCACAGAGACCCTCTGGGAATGACATCATCATCTGGCTGAGCTCCGACATTGTTCCTGGGTCAAATTAATGGCTGTATGAACATGGACCGGATGCCCTTGGTGACATACTAGTATACATTTCATTCCCATCACCGCAGGATCTGCTGTGGCCCTGTCACACATTTATGTACAGTGTCTGCCCCACCATTTACCAAAGCATGGCCAAGCGTGACCTTTGACCTCGGGGGGGGGGGGGGGGCGACAATGGCTGTCATTCACAGTTAGTGTTAGCATCAATTTCCTTCAGATACTATTCAGCCAATACTGACGCATGAGAGTGATTGTGGAAATGGTCTACATTTAGGGGAAGGCGGGGATCCCGATACTGTCATCCAATGAGATTTAGTGACACGTACTCTTAGCGGCGACCTGGTGAGATTGATGGCGACATAAGCAAATGGCAGTCCCTTACTCATTCTTCATGCCGTGGCTTTGCTTTTATGTCAAGACATTTCGATTACAAGAATAGACTAATCCCCCCCAGAGAAAGTGCATGTTTCTGGTCAGAATTGCATCGATCCACACGGTCTCCGCTTCAGCTCGCTTGCTGGCGGGTTCTGTCTAAGTTCAGCAGATCTGTTTCACTGCCCCTGACCCTCTGAGGCATCACGTTGCCCTTGAAGATGCTACAGGTCACCCCCACTGCCAGGATCCACAGGTTCACCTAAGCGTGCTAAAACAGGAGGTTTGTTTTTAAATGCTGCACACCGTAAACACCTCGGAGATGATGAATGTGACTTCAGGCAGGTGAACGCCTGTGTATGTTTAGGAGTTTGCAGGGTAGGCTACACCTCAGCCGTCGTCCCGGTAACAGAAGAACGGTGCAAAGACAGTCCCGCTCCAGCTGGGATTGGGTGGGGGGATCCCTGTCACCATGGATCTCCCCAGACACTGTCAGGACACCCCATATATCATAATCTTACTGCTACCATGACACACTGCTCTACCAATGGCTCAGGTCCAGCTTTAAGATATGGGGGAGGGGGGCAGAGATGGTGTTTGGCTGTGAGAGTTAGCTTGTCTACCTTTCTTCCTATTTACAATAATATATAAAATTTGTGACTGGCTGGTATTTGCCTGGTTCTGAGGTCTGCCCCCCATCGCCCCCCCCCCTCCACGGAGTCAGCCTATCCTCTACCTCACCCCCCATTTCAGTGAGTTCAAGCCACAGGCCCACTGTCCCGTTGGTGTGGGGTGTGCTGGTTGTGTGGGGGGTCGTTTGTGATGCAACACACCTGAGCTTGTCTCAATCCATGGCTTTTAACCTCACTGTAAAGGAGAAGGATCCGCCTGGTCCATTGACTGTACTACAGCTCCCTCCTAAATCCTAAACAGATTATCGCTAAGGCTCTTCTGTTTCGTTTATCTTACTTTCTCTTTCAGCTGGTGTCCTTAAGTTGGTCTTTAGCATGTTTTTGGACACAAGTCTGGTCCCCATCTCAGTGTGCCTCGCTTACCTCGGTTAAATTTCTTGATAGTCCTGTTCTGCTGCTCCATGGTCTTCTGGAGCTCCTTTATCTCCAGCTGGTCCTTCTCCCTCTGGAGAAAGGAATGGGACAGTCAGAATATCAATGCCTCAGAAGTAAGGGCTGGGAACCTGGGAAATTGCACTTAAAACATTTGTAAATGATGTTGTTTGTAGTATATATTCTTGTTTGTTTTCCAATGTGTTCTGTAGTGTAGGAAAACAAACAATACTCATATGAAAAGTGTTTAATTGTTCTTTTTTGTTCTGACTGAACATCTGTGTATCCAGACAATTTCTTGCTGAGCTGCTTCACACAAACACAAACACACACACACACACACACACACAGAGGTTTATCTTTGTGGGGACTCTCTATTCATTTCTATGGGGAAAACTCTAATCACAACATGACAACCTTAACCCCTACCCAGCCCTAACCTTAACCGAAAGTAACCAAACAAAATACAAGAGTTTTGGCATTTTTACTTTTCCAAAACACGACCTGAAAAAATGTCCCCAAAAGTAAGGAAGTTTCGGGGTTTACCACACTTTGGGGACATTTTGGTCCCCAAATGTGATCTATGTAAACCCCCTCCCCCCTACTCACACACTTTGTCTCAAACAAACACACCCTACCTCAAACAGACACACCCTACCTTACATACACTGCCTCACTCACACACTACCTCATATACTCACATTGCCTCACACACCCTGCTTCACCAATACAGCCCAGCCACACACACACACCCGCCTCACTTGTACAGCCCTGTCTTACACACACCCTGCCTCATCCGTACAACCCTGCCTCACTCGCACACCCTGCCTCACCCATACAACCCTGCCTCACTCGCACACCCTGCCTCACCCATACAACCCTGCCTCACTCACATACCCTGCCTCACCTGTAGAGCCCTGCCTCACTCACACACCCTGCCTCACTCGCACACCCTGCCTCACCCATACAACCCTGCCTCTCACATACCCTGCCTCACCCATACAGCCCCACCTCACTCACACACCCTGCCTCACCTGTAGAGCCCTGCCTCACTCACATACCCTGCCTCACCCATACAGCCCTGCCTCACTCACATACCCTGCCTCACCCATACAGCCCCACCTCACTCACACACCTGCCTCACCTGTAGAGCCCTTTCACACACACACACCCTGCCTCACCTGTAGAGCCCTGTCACACACACACACCCTGCCTCACCTGTAGAGCCCTGTCACACACACACACACACACCCTGCCTCACCCGCAGCGCCCTGCCTCACTCACACGTGACGTCAGCTCCTCGATCTCCCTCTGCTGCTCCTTCAGCTGACAGCCCAGTTGCTTCTTCTCCTCCAGCAGGGCATTCACCATCTCCTGGAGGTCTGCAGAGGCACCGTCAGCCAATTAACACACACGCGTTCCTTCAGCCGATTAACACACACGCGTTCACCTGAAGCACAAATCAGTTCGGAGTACAGCTTCACTGCCCGTGATACATCACACACACTCTAAGTAACACATAGTCTGAACCGACACGCTGAGCCCTGAATGGAAACCCGCCGTCCTCACGATCTCAAAAACATACCAAAGCTGGAGCCAACATACTGACACACCTGACATACCGTCACGATGAGCGACGCCACCGCTAACCGCTAACCGCTAACGGGCACAGTAAACAGAGCTGTCTGCTGAAACCGAGTCTTTGCTATTGGCCACTGTAGCTCCGATGGACCAGCTTGAGTCTATTACGTGGATTAAGTTACTTTCTGGCCGCCGATCCTCTGTACATGCCTGCATTCCCAGTGCATTGTGGGAAAAGCCACTAAACAGCTGTATGAAATCGTTTTACAGCTTTAAAAATCTATCGAAATTGGATAACGCGTCTAGGCAGTGCTCCGTTCCACTAGCCAGTGGCTTCCGGGCGCTCTCTGACCTTTGACCTGCTGCTGGTACTGTGCGTAAGGGTCGGGACTGGTTTCCTGTGGCTCAGACTCCTCGTCCAGGGCTATGCAGTCGGAGATGCTGGGCAGCAGCTCGTCCAGGCAGGGTCGCGAAGACAGGCTCAGGTACTTCAGCTTCTTGTTCTCGCAGTTGAGCTGCAGGCACACGGGCATCTGTTAGCGCGAAAGGCCGTGGACCACGCAAACGCGCGCCCGCCGGGCGTTTATCAGGATCCTGCAGCAAACACGATCGTCCGTCACTCTGCCAGACAACGTGTCCAGATGGAGATCCAGGGTAAATACATCCATCCGTCTTATCCAGAACAGGGTGACCGTGAGCCTGGAACTTATCCCAGGAAGCACAGGGGTGTGAGAAAATGGGATGCCGGTACATCACAGGGCACACACACAACCTCACAGAACCGCATGTCTGTAGACAGTCAGAGGAAACTGGGTCACCCTAAGGATCCGTGCAACACATGAGGGATTCAAACCTATGATCCTACTGGTATATATCGAGCGGCTCTGTCACCCAAATCCACCGTATATGATTTTGATGCTTTTTAAAGCACGTTTCACCGAAGAAACTTTCGTTTCACGTTTACCTGCTACTGTCATCTATACCAGGGATCCCAGCCCTTTGACGGCCACGGACTAGCATATGTTGTGCAAAAGTTTCACAAACCAGTAAAACTTGTCAACCAGGGAGGGGAGGGAGGAGGTTGGCTCCGAAAATGTTACTATATCCATTGTTCAGATGCAGGCAGCACACACAACCATCACAGGTGGTAAAACAAAGGTGTGGCTTAGATTATTCTTAGAAACCAACCAAACCCCCATTATCGTGCAGCCCGGTGGACTAGTGCTGGTCCGTGGACGGAGGGCTGGGAAGCCCTGTTTGGGTAAAACATGGACCAGCATGAACATCGATAAGCGGACCGGCGGAATGGGAAAGGAGTGCACGGGCCCCCCCCCTCACACGGTGCCCACCTTGGTGGCCAGTGCCTCGGCGTTCTCTCTGCAGGACTTCTCGATCTCCAGCTGGGTCTGCAGGACACTCACCTCCTCGATCACCATCTGGGACACTAGGCGGGAAAACAGAGCGGTCAATAAACCCGCCCCTCTGAGGACCAGCTCACGCTGGGTCGTTTAGGCGGTTCCCACGAGTCACGACGGGACGGCGGTCAGGTCCGCGGGTCGGGAGTCTGGGAGGCAGCCAATGGCTAATCGGGTAGGAGGCGCCATGGCGATGACCTTTCCAGTGTGGGGCCCTGCCAAAGTCACCCCACCAATCAGAAGGGCTAGGCTCCCCCCCGCCCACCCCACCAGCTCAGGTTTGGGAATTAGCATGAACTGACAGGCAAAAAAAACCCCACTGCAATTTAAAAATCGTTCACATTGGGTTTAGCAGACACTTTTATCCTAAGCAACATCATTTTTTTTAACAAAGTGAGGTCCGACAGTCTCCAGATCAATTTGGGGGGTGCTTAAGGGCCCAATGGTAAAAACCACTCTGCCCACCTTGGGATTTGAACCAACAACCATCTCCACAACAGACCAACATTCCAACCCACTGATCCACACACACCACCTGCACTGCTCTGATATCTATGTGATATGAGCCAGAGCCAGAACAAAACAACAGTAGCCTGTCAGTCTGTCCATTACCTCTCCCCACTCACAAAGGGAGCCTTCTCACAAAGAGATACAGGCAAGGATTCTATTTGTCACCGTAGTAAGACTTTTTATAAAACTCTTTATTATGCTAATTTATAGTGCTGCCTGTCCTAGTGTTTGAATTTTGTATTAATGCATTTTTAATAGAATTTTTTGGTGTATGTGTTTGCCTGATTTAAACTCATTTTACCACCGTGGAAACTGGAGACCTTTGTGTGAGTGTGAGACAGACAGACAGACAGACAGACAGACAGACAGAGAGACAGACAGACAGAGAGACAGACAGAGAGAGTCAGTCTGCAGTATCTAACAGCTCTAACAGTTTGCAGCTTCCAGGACCTGTCATATTACCATGTTTAAATATACACATGAAACAGCATACATAATTACATAACGGCGCCTTGTGGAAAGGGCATTATTATAGAGTTTAATCAAGGGACAGCATTTCCTTACAGAAAGCCAAACACAGACCCAATTAAGCCCCAATAAAATATGGATTTTCTTTTCAGGTAATAATTGCTGTTTATGACAAAAGGATGTTTTTTTCTGACAAATTGACATTTGACATTGACATTTGAAATTGACATTTGTCAGAAACAAGGGATCAGGCGCCTGGCTGAAAGAGCAGCTTGTAATTGTGACGACCTGGAGTGCTTTCTGTCCAATCTGACGGAACTTAACCTTTGACCTCTCGCTTGTAACACACCCTCAAACGGCAGGGTGACAGGGTGATGGAGGACATTTCAGATTAAGACGAAGATGGATTTATTGATCCTAGTGGGAAAATCTGGGAATGTGTAAACCTTGTTACACATCAGTGTGTTTTTGGACATGAGAACAGTGCAAGATGCCCTCACTCGTATTTCACTGTTAAAGCCCCAGTGTCCTGTTGTGCTTCTCTATGAAATCAACCCACTAGCACAGTACAAGTCTAACCCACCGTCATCCACAGAGGTGCGCTGTTTCCACGCCATCCTGTCACTCATAGGACCGTCGGATCCATTCCCTGCCACTGACAGATCGTCTCCAGAGTCCTGCCATTCAACCCATTTGTTTTTTTTACAGCTTCCAAAAGCAATAATATTGATTACAGTTTAGGAACCGGAACGGGGATGGGTTCCACTGTCTTAAGTGAACGAGCAATAATGAGAGTCACAAACATGAGGGTAGTGTGTGGTTCAGCAAGTTAGTGATGCGATTGGAAGGTCGCCATTTCAAATCCTGTGGTCAGCACAATGATGTCATCGTCATATCCTTGAGCAAGGTCCTTCAACCCAAACATACAGGTGAGAGCAAATTTTGGGATCAGACCACAAGATCGCACAGCATGCTACACCCCCAGATGAGTTGAGGTTAAGGGTCTGCACAAGGGCCCAACAGGGGTATGGTTATACTGCCGGCCACGAAATTCACACCCATAACTTGCAAGATATGGGGTCAGATCCCAGAGCCTTGAGGAAACTTCCCAAAACAACACAGGCCTACTCCTTCCCAGGAACCACCAACTTAACTTTAACCCTACAACCCACATGGTGTCAGACAAGGGCGTCGGAGAGAATTTGATATTGGGGCGGGGGGGGAGGACACACAACTTAATAATTTAAACACAAAGGTCTATTTATTAAGGGGGGCGGCAAATAAAGCCAAATTACATATTGTGTGGCACACATCCCCCCCATCTCTCCCCCCGGTTGGTACGCCCCTGGTGTCAGATTCTGTTTCATAGGATGAGCAGAGCTGCTGGATCTCCAGCCAGTGGGGGTGGGAGGTAAACTCATGCCTGGTCCCATTTTTTATATTTTTTTTTTGTCTGTTAGCACGCATGCCCGGGGCAACCTGAAATGGAGGACAGCCTTCAAATGGAGTCCGCAGCCGTGTTCTGCGGCTGGCTACACGCTCCATAAACCTCGGACGGCTAAAATCACCCTCCATTAGGGGCGTCCCGCGTTAAAACACGCACCCTACAGGCTCTGCGTGTCCCTCTCGCAGACCGACTGCCTCGCGGGGACCGCATGGTCGACACACTCTAATGGAACCATCATCCATCATTTCAAACAGAGGCCGATTCCACCTTGAAAGTTCTGCTAAAAGGTATTGAGGTAAATGGTGCTCTGGTACAGGTCAGTCATTGTACACAAGGGGGAACTTCACTCCTCTAGGGTTGTGGGTTCAAATCCCATCCCTGCTTGTGTGTGTGTTTGTATGATCTCCTGGTCTCCTGCAGTCCTAAGGCATGTGGTTATGTCACCTGTTACCCCCCCGATCCATGGTGACCCCAGGTATAGGGTCCAGCTACCACCCCAACCCTGAACTTGATAAGAGACAATGGAACATGGATGGATGTGTGTTTGTTTGTATACTTATTCCAATCAGAGTGAATTTTTCATTGATTTTCATTTAAAGGAGTTTCCACTTACTAATAATTGGTTTATCCTTCTGTCCATCATCAGTGCTGGTTTGTCTATAACACAGGAAGGGGCGGGGGCTACACTGTGAGCTTCCTGCTGTTTTTCAGGTTAGACCTGGTATTAAGCTGGCCGTGGTTGTGGAGTCCCACCCGGTCTGCAGCGTATCCTGCTTCCTCCCTCAGCCTCAGGTCCTGATTGTTTAACTGACGCTATTCTTAGCTGTTCACCTGGTTCTCCTGGTGTAAATCAGTCACTAGCAGTAAGGTAACCCAGAGACCCACAGTCAGTGCCCCCCCCCCCCCCCCTACGCCGTAGGAGATACTGAAATGGACCATCTACTGGAGGACAGAGAAGATCAGGCCACACACACTTCCTGAATGTGGGGGCAGTGTGTCGCTTGGTGGGTTAGGACACTGTGACCGGGACCGGAAGGTCCCCAGTTCAAATCCCAGGGTCAGCAGAGTGATTTCACCTCTGGGTCCTTGAGCAAGGGCCTTAAACCCAAATGCTCCAGGGACTGTATGACCCTGTATGATACTTTTGACAAAAGCACCTGGCAAATAAATGAAAATGCAAATGAAGGTGCCAGCAGAATGAGGTTACCCTCATCGGGGCACTTCTGAGGAAGCCTGCATGGGTCGAGGGGAAACTTCAGCATCTCACGGCCAGCATGGTTGCTCCCAATGTGACATCAAACAGGGTCTCCTGATTTACCCCCCAGGCAGGGATGGATCTCCAGACCCTGGGGTTCTGTTTGCGTGATCCCACACTGGACCAGACACTCCAGGTAGACCCAGAAGCTGTAGTCACCTGTTACGGCAGGTGTAACGGCCAGGCCTGTGAGGGTTTGGGGAATAGCCTCCTCAACCCCCTCCCCCCCCAATTATTGCATGGCCACGAGTGACCCTCTGCCCATCACGCTGCCTGGACAGCGACATGGCTGGCTCAGAGCAACCCCTGCAGCACGGACACTCAGCCACACCAGAAAGATGTCAGAGCATATAAAAAAAGACACTCTCAGGAAATTGATTTAGGAATGTTCCGGAGCATCGCAGATGCTGTCCATTCAGCCCTTTAGTGCGATTAAGGGAGGGTGGGGCCTGCCCCTCTTCCAGGAACAATCCACTCCCCCAGCGTCATCTCCACACCCACCCACTCCCCCCAACCCCCCAGCTCATTTTAGTACGCGACTGACAGAGAAATCAAGGGCATAACTTTGGATTGAACATTGTGGAGATTGAGGTCCCTGATTCATCATGACAATATGATTTTTTTTTTTTGGGGGGTGGGTTGTATTGGCCAGTTCTGATTATTTGAGGGGTTACAACCCCCCCCAGAATCACCCCAGAGAGACTGAGCACAGCAGGAGTGGGAGCTATCCTCAGCCCTTAAATCCAAGTATCTCCGTGAGTGACTGGCCACCCACAGGCGTGGTGAGATGCCAAGGGGAGCAAGGTGATGGTCCAGAGGAGGAGATGAGCTCTGGGGATGGGCCTGTGTGCCCCCGCCGGCTCGGCTCTCGGACCCCCCGCCCGGGGTTACGGAGCAGCATCCAGGCAGGATTCTAGGTCACTGATTACTTACTGCTTTAACTCGGCTGAATTGAATTTTCAGAAAAAAAGAAGAACATAAAAAAACAAAGCCTCTGAAACTGGAGAGACCACATCCTCATCAGACGAAAATAATTTCCTCTCCCGGGAACAGAGAGAAGCCCTTTGTGTGAGTGTGTATCTCTGGGGGCAGGAGTCATGTAAGGAAAGGACCGTGGCTCTGTGCGTGTTCAGTGCGTGCTCAGTGCGTGCTCAGTGCGTGTTCAGTGCGTGCTCAGTGCGTGGAGAAGCTGTTCATACCTAGTGAAGCACCACTTCAAATAAGCTTGCTCCCCTTAGTCATACGCTTTTCCCTGAACACAACCTTGCGAGATTAAAATCAGACTCAAAGTTATCTGTCATGCAGAGCTAATTTAGAATGTAAAAAGGAGGCATTCAGCTGCTGCTTAATTCAAACAATAGCAAATGAAAGCATCCAGTCAGTACCTGCACTGGACCAAAAAACATATCAGATCAAAGAATCCAACTGGGAGTAAGAGGCTAAAATGGCAAGTGACAGGAAAAGCTTCAGCGTGATGTTTTGCAGCATGCATGCGCACCTAGTGCTGCTTTACCCAGCATGCTTTGGGGCTGGAGACGACGGGCAAGCCAGCCGCAGAGCCGGCACATCGCAGGTAGTCTGCAGCACGCGCAGAATCCTGCACTCTCTCAGCCAATCAAGGACGAGCACAGTGGCCGGCCGCTTGTCGACCGGAACGGGGGGGGGGGGGGGGCAAGCAGGGCAGCAAAGCATTTCCTGCGCGCGCTGAGCACCACGTCGAGCTGAGGAAGACGCGGGCCGCTGAACAGGAAGCAGGAAGACTCTGCATGCACTGGAAACCTGGATCTTAATCCTTTCTTATCAAGGTCACGGGATGCGAAATGCTTCAGGATAACTGCTGCAGGTCGGATGCAGCGATGCGTCGCTGATGCTCTCACTACACCAAGAAGAGACATGAGGTGAAGTGCTTAACGCACCTTTAACGCACCTTTAACGCACCTTTCCCTTTTTCGGCTTAAATCCACCTTAAGTGACATAGGAGGGGGGGGGCACCATCCAATAAAAGAGCAGCCGAAGGCAGCTTTGTGTCATACCGTATGGATGGATGGACGAACGGACGGATGGATGGATGGATGGATGGACGGACGGATGGATGGATGGACGGACGGACAGATGGATGGACGGACGGACGGATGGACGGACGGACGGACGGACGGACGGATGGACGGACGGACGGACGGATGGATGGACAGATGGATGGACGGATGGATGGATGATGGATGGATGGATGGATGGATGGATGGAAGACACAATCACACTACGTTCATCTAAGACTGCTGAGATCTTCAGAGCTGGATGTTATCATTTCAGTGCAGTAGAAAATACACAATAAGCCCAGCAGGCTTTGTGTGAAAGTGAACGGGATGCAGATATTTAGTCAAAGAGAAAAGATACACAGGAGATGCACTGTATGCCCCAGTACCTTCCCAAAGTAACTCTGCATAGGGAGGCCTAGTAGGTGCAAAGCTTTCATCTGTTTACACGAAAGCAGCCCGGAACAAACCCATGCGCTGTCTGCTACGCATGGCGGGCAGCCAGCCTATTGCATTCCACCGAATCGCGCTCTGCACTTTCATCGCCTTTTCATTCCACAGAGCGCCGTGGCTTTATGGAGCTCAGCAGCCTCTCCTCTCCTCTCCCTCGCTTTGTTCTCGCAGCACCACGGCTCTGAAAGAGGCTCGTCATTAAACGGAGCTCTTTCTGCAGAGTAACCAGACTGCAACCCGGTAAGCAGGTAAGCAGCACCGCGTCTGGCCCACAACAAAGGGCCGTAAACCTGCTCTGGACCTTCATTTTCTAGCCATGCATAATTTATAATTGGAGATTTTAATAATTCAATGAAATAACATCACGGGGGAAGAGTACAGGGATCACTGCTGTCTACACTCATTCCTTGGGGGCTACGGGACAATTCCTGTTGAAAGGATGCCGCCTCACCCCTCGATCGCTGCCAAATTGCGTGACTAATCTCTCGCTTTCTTTGTTCATCCCCATCTTGGGCAGTGTTCAGTCCTGCGTCATCAGGAACCTTCACAGGTGCGGGAAGGAAACCTGATGGATCTCTGGTCCCTAACAGATTCATACTTAATCCACAGCTGATGCGGGAGGAACTTACTGTCAATAACTGAAACTCACTTCATCCCAAGAGATAAAACCACTAAAATCATCCAAATTAAATTTGATTTAATTTTAAAAAGTAATTTGTGATACTTATGAAAGTGTGTATAAAGCATTTATTTCACTGCTTTGGGTAAATACCTTCATAATGCATTATTATGTTCAGTATAAGCATTAAGGATGCTTTGAACTGCATTATGAAGGTATTTATAGTACATTGTAGATGACAGCTTCATAAGGCAGTCATAATGCATAATAAAAACATCTATAATGCTTCATGCCTTTTTATAAATAGTTATAGCTGTGTTTATAATACTTTAAGAATGCATTATGAAGGTATCTATCACATACAGTACATACTGTTTAGAAGTGCTTTTATGTTATACACACAATCTCTCTGCACTGCATAATCATCAAAAGGTTCACGGAATTGTTTTGAACTCTTCTTTCCTTCTGTAATTACAATAATCAGTAAAAGTGCATTTTAAGCACCAGGGTTTTGTTTTCTGTAACTCATCCCTGCCCCAGACCTCAGTAATGAAATACATCCTGCAGCATTACACACACAAAAAGCGAAGGCCTGTTCTGCAGGAACAAAAACAAAGGCTGGTATAAATAAAGTTTATAAATAAACACTGATACGGCATCGGATATTGAGGAATATTCTGTATCTAAACCCCCACATGAACAGTCAAACAGGCTAATTACCTGCAGCAGGTTAATGAAGGAGCAAAGTGGTATAGGTGAGAGGAGAGATAGAGTGACGGTCTTCCTTTACCTCACAGTATTGTCTTTGCACCTCAGGGACACCTCCAAGCCGTCTCCAGCAACCCTAGGGGCCCGTCCACCAAAGCTAACGATGATTCTCGATCTTTAGGTGTCACTGGTCGGGGACCAGGCAAGGCCGGACATACACTAATTCTTCGCTACGGTTGGCCGGGAGTCGGCATGGAAACTGGGAACCCCCTCCCCTTTTCTTCGATGCTGGGATAATAGCGTGGGGGGGGGGGTAGGCTCGGGTGTGGGCATGACAGCAGAGAAGGGCAGGGTTGCAGGGGGTGCGTGCGAATGTTTTTAATAAGGGGGCTATTTGACAGTGCCATGAGTGTTCCGGCTCTTTCCACTGGTCTCCGAAAAGACGACGAGAGTTGCCACACACAACCACTCACGGGTGCTTTAGCGCATGATGTGGGCGGAGCCCAGGTCACCTGAAGTCACCCTTAGCGACAGATGCGGGGCCTTTCAAAATCCTACTCTGGCATGGGACACATGTCACCCATCACGGGTGTTTTCCAGTGTCTCATGACTTAGAATCCTTTGCACTGGACCCCCTTTCCCAGGAATGGCAGTAGAGGAACGATGCGGCTCAAGTCTGGTACGGGGAGGGAGGTGTTACAGCATGCGCATCGGAGCTTTCCTGCAATGCAGCAGGGGTCCGGTTTGAGTCAGAGTGGTTGCAGGTAAGTGCAGCACACAACAGGGCCGAGTTTCAGCTGACCTGCCCGTGTCACTGTCACTGGGACCAATCAGGGACGTTTGCGGGCGTGCAGACTCTAGCATGCGGGAGATTTTTTAATCACCGTTCGTCATCTCGACTCCAGAGACGGCAGATACTCACCGCGCTTGATGTGCTTCAGCTGCCTCTCTGCTTCATCCCTCTCCTCGGTCAGCCTAATGCACTGAGTGACAGGAGGAGGCAGTTAGATTCACTGCAAAGGCAGGTCAGGCAGGGTCACCCATGTGCACAGATATTCATCAAGGCTCCTATTTAGCAGTCATCCGCATTAAAGCTCTCTTCTCTTTTTTTGGGATCACGCAGTTGTGTGTGGGTGTGTCCAGGTGCAGACCTGAGGGGGGGCAGGGTTGGTCCTAGTAAATACAGAGCACCCCTGCAGCCATCCCAAATTAAAAAAATAAAAATAAATTATTTTACGTTCTAAGTGGGACCATAGAGGAGACACGCTGAGGTGCTCACACTGCAGACACTGCCTTTACGAGCTTATCAAACATGTCATCATTCATTTCCCTTTTGTTCCATGTCACCCCCATAAATATAAGTGACCCCCGATGACCCCCCTAATCAACATTTTCTGCAGGCACCACTGGGAATGTCCATGTGAGGCATGATGCGGGAATTCTGGCGCCACATTGAACACAAACACTCCGGGATAAAAGTCCTGGGGAAGGCATTGGGAGTGTGCGTGTTCCTCTCATGTTTGTGCACATCCCACTATGCACTTCCCATCGTGCACATCCCACTATCCACTTCCCATTGTGCACATCCCACTATGCACTTCCCATCGTGCACATCCCACTATCCACTTCCCATTGTGCACATCCCACTATGCACTTCCCATCGTGCACATCCCACTATCCACTTCCCATTGTGCACATCCCACTATGCACTTCCCATAGTGCACATCCCTCTGACAGCCCGAAAAAGGCACATTTAGGTGAACTGCTGTCTCTAAATTGGCTTTAGAGCGTGTAACTGAACGACCTGAGAGGGACTGGCATCCAATCCAGGATGCCCGTTTTTTGTTCCCAGTGGGTTCTGGGATATGGTCTAGACTCACCATGATCCTATACTGGATAAGTGGTTATTGAATATGGACGGATGAATATACCAGTGTCATATATACGTTAACCAGTAGATAGCATATTGATACAAAGAACAATCACCAATGTGCATGGATAATATTATCACAGCTTTTCTTTGCATACAGGGAGGGAGAGAAAATAAACAGGAACAGATCTGGGGTCTTTTGACATTAATTCTCCCCAAAAGGCCGATTAATTTTTGCTGAGATCAGCAGTATTTATGTACTGTAACCCTATGCTATGGTCGAGGTGAAATATCCTTTTTTTGATTTGTACAAAAGTACAGGATGTTTTTACTATTAATTTCAGCACTACCACTGTTCATTCACATCCAATACATATTCCATGTATTTGGAAGAAAATATTTGCTCTTAGGTCTAAGTCTTGCTGTAAAATAAATCTATCTGCCTCTCAGACACTTAAATTACCACCAGGGCAGGTACTTGCAGTTAATGATCTCTTACTAAAATGTAACGCTTTTATTTCTGTGTCTGGGTTCCATGGACTGAAGATTTATACTATATATTTCTTTCTGGGGGCTCATTATGGGAGGTAGTTGAACATCAGAGTGCATTTGAAAGAAACCTCAAAGTAGAGAAAATGCTGGATCATTTTAAACAAAAACATGGCGTTGAGGAGGAGATCCTCCAGGACGTGCCCAGACCACCCCCAGGTCATTAAAGGCCTGACTGTCTTTGTTTATTGCTTTTGATAGTTGATGCCTTTTCTGTCTGAGTATTCCCAACCAACATCTTCTCCCCGATGCTGTTCCACATGGAAAGAGTCATTCTGGATCAGGGCAGTTCGGGAAATATTTCCTTTCTCATGGTCTGTCCTCTGAAATACAGGGATGATTTCCCACAGGCTACAATAAGCCCGAAAAATACATTTCTTGGCAAAGTCATGAATGAAGATACTATCTGATACAAAAATGCTCTAAAATTTTGCTAATTAGCCAGTTAAGGTATTCAAGCCCAGTTAAGTGAACTAGGTTTGTTCAAACACTTGTTCAACTTGACTGAGGAAACCTGACCTATGACCCCCCCACAGGGTAACCAAACTCACTCCCCTGAGGCCGAATACCCAAGAGGACAGATACATGATGACACTGACATAATCGCTGACCTGTTTGAGATGAGGGATAGTGAAGGTAATCAAAAACAACATCAATATGCCTCAGGACTGGAAAATTGACATAGCATTTCAGTCCCTGCAAACACTTCAATTATATTGCAATAATAACGCCAGTCATGCTACAAACACCTTTTGTATTTCTGCTTCCTGTTCAGGCCCCAAGCACTAAATGCACCAGCAGATGGCTCCTCTGTCTTTTGTGACTGTTTCTATATCCATTTGACAGCCGTTTCCTATGAATTTGAAAGTTCCTACAAAGACAGGTGAACACAGTCACCGGGACTGAGACTTCGCAGTGTCTCCACCCACCGCGCCCCCCAACGCCAGCCACCTGCAGGACAAAGTAAGGTCAATCCTGACTTTACAGGAGTCCGCAGACCAATACAGCATGCTTTCTGCAGCAGTGGAAAAAGTCCTAAGTCTGGCTCTTATCTGCAGCAGGAGTGTCTGTCCTTAGCGCAACACTAAACAGGCATATTAGACGATATCTGTGCACATTCATATTCACATGTATTTGGTTGTTGCACCATTTTAACGATATTTTCTCAAGACTCCTGCAAAGACCGTATCATCAAAAGCATCTTTCTTCATTCCAAGTCAGAAATTAAGTCACTACAGCAGCGTCTACTACTGCTGTCCGACATACTCCCTACATTTAATCCTGGATGCAGCGGCGCATAACCCACTTTTTAAAGACTTCTGGAAAACTTCACACCACAAAGGTAGAATTTAGAGACATTTGCGTTTTTCAGTCAGGCGACAGACCTCTTTCTGTGATCCCTTCTCAGGCAGCTACACCATTACAAAGGTGCGACCGGTCCCTTAGTTGTGAGCAGAACGTGGTCCCGCACATAATAACTGCAACGATGGTCTTAACGTTTCATGGGAGGCGACAAAAAAATACTCATACCCGCTGTAATATTATAATGTAAAATACTGAGATCGGCAATGTTATAACAATAAAAAAGACATCTATTGCCGTCTCGGATGTGAGTTTGATTTAAGCGATTTTATTGCACTAAACAGCACATCGCTATGCATTTTTTTTGCTGGGCGTCGGCAAATGTAAATAGATTAAAGTGGTGACAGATCACTTTCCCTCGTTCATGCACCTAACCCCTTGTGCAGGGGCACACATGGGTGAAATTATAGGCCAAATGTTCAGATCCATATTTCATGATTACATTTTAAACGGCGATAAATGCAAACCGGCATTTGTCCCTGTCATTCCGCAGCCTTAAGCTTACACCCCAAACTGTTAGCCGGCATAAAGGAAAGGATGAAACCGTGTCTGCGTCTAAATGGCCGGCTCCCTAAAGATTTACTGAAATGTTACAAATATAAATATTAAAATTATAATATAATAAAGTAAAAATATATAGGGTAATACGTCTTTTTTGAATATTTAAGTAGCGCTGCACGTGTATAGTGCCTGTATCAAATGATCTGCATTTAAGCCGGTAAGCTTTGTGAATGAAATTCTTTGTTTAATTGCAGCGTTTCTTACCTCCGTTTTCACTTTCTGTGCTTCTTTCTCATCGGAACCGGTGCTGTCGCTCGCCGCCGTAGGCGAAGACGGACAGGGCAGCATCGTCTCCCCAGATATATGAATTAAATAACGGACCGGCTAAACGATCGCTCCGGCGTGAATGATCCTCTCTTTAAACCAGCAGAGCAGTATTTCAGGTGTTTCTTAACAAAGCATCAGTTCAAAACCAATGGGCATATTCCTCCAGACCTGACGTGGAAGAAAAGGCAGCGCCGCCTCCCAGACGCGCAGCCTGCATCCGCGGTACCCCCGCCGTGTCGCTCCGTCCTGGGCTTTCCTAGCTGCAGCCCTGAGAGCCAAGCTGCCCTCGCCGTGATGCTCGGAGCTCCACCCATCCGGGGGGGGGATCCGTACAAAGAGCCGAGGTTCGCTCAGCCCAGCCCTACCCAGCCTCGTCTGCGCCCCCTTTCCTCGCCACCTGCGCCCTTCTGGGCTCTGCTGTGACGATCTGCTTTTCGCTCCTGCCTGTATCTGTCGGCAGGCTGTAGTGTCCTGGACGTCCATGAGCAGGAATCTCAGCTCTCGTACCAATAACCTGCAAGTTTTATTATTCACCCTGCATTTAATCCGGCTTTCTGCAGACCATCAATAAACAGCATCAGGCATGCCTGCAGACCCGACATGCATAAAACATTTAGCGGATGCTATATTTTCACTTCGAGTATGAAATGTTTTATTTAAATTGTTAAAAGTACAATGAAGATGTGATGTTAGGTGTGGATGTAAATCTGAGCAATATGACGGGAAAACAGTTGCTTCCAGTCCAGTTCGAGGTCACCTTAAGTGCTTTGCTGCGGCAGTTTTTAGGGCAGTGTGCCCTAAATTACCGTATTTGGTTGGGATTATATGGGTTTCCGTTGATGCGGATTCAGCTCATGTAAATATACGGATGCGGATTAGCCCATCCTCCAGTTTAATCCGGATTAGTTAATCTGCAACCTCGTCTTTAGGTTTATTAAAGATCACAAAATTGGCTCATGAGGCGTGATTAACTTTCCGTTTCTAGTTAGGTATTTTAAAAACGTTATGTCGTGCTAATATATTGCTACAGGTTATTCTGATCGTTCTCATTTGGGAAAAGGTTTGCTGGATTTTCTCATTATATTGTCCATATTGTGTCACTATGAAGCATGACCAGCTTCATTACAGTGTTCAGCAATAAAAACATCAGTGATTTATTTTTTCCTGATGAAGCAATTCATCCAAACGTATTTCATACCTGATGTGCCTGAAATGGGCTTTTGTAGAGTTTCCTAATGTATTACCTCTATATTTACTTTAGTTAGTAGTTACTTTCGTCCAAAACAACACACAAGTGAGGCATATAGCGCATTACAAACACACTGTCAGAAAAAAAAAAAGAGCACCAATTTGTAACTTTGCTTGTCACTGGGGCTGACTATAAGGAACAGTGACAGACCCAGTGACAAGCAAAGGTACAAATTGGTACTTCTGACAGTGCGTAGTGCAGCTAAATTGTCAGAAAAAAAGGGTACAGCCCTGGAACAGTTTTGTTCCCCAAGGTACAAACAACCTTAATGTACCCCCATGGTATAAAAATGTTGAGTCCATTTCTGCACCTTAACTTAGACAAAAAGGTACATTTACCTGCAGCTAGGGTACAACTGGCAGACGCTTGATGATACAGACCCTGTGACAAGTAATTGTACCCTCAAAGGTACAAATTGATACTTTTTTCTGATCCAAAGAATGCCTAGATACAAGTGTACGAAGTATTCGAACAAGAGCTACACATCGTCTTTCAAAGCAAGAACATAAATAAATCTAGTATTGAAATCAGCAGGAAGTGTTACATTGACGTAGCTTTATTTTTTTTAAAAGGTTGTATTTAAATACAAATAAAAAGCATAACAATAAAAATACTGAAGAGCAGTATTGAATACAAAGGAAATTAATTATAATCTGAATTACACAGAAAGACAAAATGACAAAAGTGATCATTTAATTCAAACTATTTGTACCTATATATAGTTTCTTGAAAAAATATAGTGCTGTATCTATATACATTTATATCCAATATGAATACATATCAGCTATTGATACCACAGCTGGAATTCCTACATGTCTTGAAGACTTAACTACCCAACAGAAACAGCCGGAAAGAGCTTCCCATGAACAGTGAGGTGTGTCAGATGGTTCTGCTGCATTAGTACACGCTGGCCCTGGGACATAAAAAAAAAAAAACAAGGGAAGACGTTTGATTGTGTTGATATGGAGCATGTTTCAGACTCAACATCCATGACAAACATTGCCTTTGCACAGGAGTGGACTGAGCGTTACCTCACTGTGCATCTTTGGGAGCACAGAAAGCCAGAAATAAACAGCAGAAGACTGTTTCCATCTGTGCAAACTGAGCCACAGTCAAAGGTGAAACCCTCTACCAAACAGGAACTCATAAAATACATACATCACAACACTTGTTAGATCGCTCACCACCTTTAACAGCTACACGGGGTTTCTGAAGCACGTGGGGGGGGGGGGGGTTGATGACCACATGCTGTAATTCGATGCCGTTCCTGCTGTTAGATGCTTTACGCAACAATGTGTACCTGGAGAAGGCAGAGACGGTGACAAGACCCAACAGCAGCTCCAGGCTGTGGAAGCAGAGGAGCACGGCATTGAGGGTCACCTCCAGGCGTAGGACGAAGGTCTGCAGCAGCAAGTAATACACGCTCAGGACGGCACAGGGCACCAGCACGCCCATGCTGACCACCAGGCTGAGAGATTGCTGGCACAGGTTGCCTTTCTGGCCTGGAGACACACACATGCAGAATCAGCGCTACACAGAACAACGCAGTCGCAGAGTCACACAGAAAATGCAGAATCAAGGAGTCACACCGAATCATTCAGAATTACAGATTCACACAGTCATTCAAAGTCACAAGAATCATACAGAGTCATACAGAATCAACAGAATAAGAGACATACAGAATTGCAGTCATACTGACACACAGATCTGCGGTCACAGAATGACACAATCATACAGAACAACAAGTCATGCAGAATTGCACAGAGACCACATGTTCAGTGGGGAAATCAAAATCTTCAGTTTTTGACAGACATAAAAAGACAACTAACAGAGATACTCAAATACTCCAGACCGACCATAAAAGATTCGGAGAGTCTCCAATCCGAGGAAGAGGAACAGCAGCACTATGTCCAGGATTAGGTTAGCTGGTGGATAAGGAAGCAATATTCCTGAAGAATAAAACATTAAACACCCACTCAGTGCACTCAGAAATAATCTGAGGCTTAATCATAGTAACATTAGTACTGAGAGATCATTTAAAATAAGAACAATGTTACTCTTATCATATGACAAATGAATATTTATGCAACTTGTGTAACAATAATAATCTTATCCTCCCAAAAATGCTACAAATACACAAGTATGAAAGTGGCTCATGCCAAAACGTCCAACCTTTGTAAACAAATATGAGAATCTCAGCAAGGAAGTAGGCAGCAAAGTACCAGCCGTTGAGCTGCAGGAGGACTTGAAGGGGCGCAGAGGACAGCTACCGGTTTACCAGGTTAAGGAGCTGACAAGTTAAAAGGCTGGGAAATTTAACAGTTCAGCCACTATCAGAGTTCAATGCACAACATCGTTAGCTTTTACGTATGAAGGATACAATTACACTCCTCCCTGCAGAAAAAATACATACGTTACAGAAGTATTCAATATAAAAACTGCAATGGCACATATGATTTAGTTTGTGTTTTCCCCATTCGGACAATTTGGGTTGCGTACTCGAATTCTGCCGCCGTGTGTAGAATTTGTGTGTTTTTCTTTAACTTCTGTTTTCACTCACAATCCATAAATTAAAAGGTGCGTTTGGGTCACCAGTTCTCCCCAGATGGGGATTGTGTTTCGGAGTGTGCCTTGCCAGGGTATCCGCTGCTTGGCGCCCTGTGCTTCCTGGGATTGAGCCAGGCTCACCACGACCCTGCACCGACCACTGGTCTGGATTTCCAGCCCTCTCTCCGGACTGCTGTGGGGTCTCCTCCTTTTGCCCCCTTGTCCCCCCCTCCATCAACTAGCGCCACACTCCCCAATCCCTCAAGCACAAAAAATACGAAACCCGCGGACACACATACTACCCCGTACGCTACTATATTTGCTCTGTATAACAATATCTGATGATCGTAGATGCAAAGCCAGATGAATTCAATTAATCCATTCATTCATACCTTTTCGTTATCCGCTTATTCAATCAAAGTCGCGATAAATTTAAATTTGTTACATTTGGTAACCATTGTTAGTCCAGCAAAATTGTCAACTGAATGTAATCATAGCACCAACTTCTAGAAAATATGCTGCTAGAGAGCAATGTCAATGCTACCGCCTTGAAGCTATTGGTTGAGAAAAAGAACTTCTTCTTTTTCGACTTTGTCACTATGTATGTTAATCGTATTCACAAACGATATTGCTTGCTTATTCTCATAATTGCTTTACAAAAGACCTGAAGCAGCATGCAAACGCAAAGCTGCTATTAGGTTACTCACCGGACGCGGCCATGTTTGCTTGCCATGGAGACAGCGTCCCCTCCAGATTACCCAAGATACCTTTCGATTACGTCATATTTCTGCGACAAAGACGCCTGTGCCACATTTAATAAGTTGGACAATTTAAATGCGGTTTAAATTAGAAATATGTTGTAATCGACCATGTGAAAACGCGTAAGTGCAAGACAAGGTCACATTTCATGTATAATGGAATAAGTGCTGGATAGAACACAGCATCACCAGGCACTAGAAATCTCCTAAATGTACTAAAGTTTATATTACAGGTTTGTATATCAGGACATCCATAAGAACACATGTAATTTTAGAGAATTATGAGTTAAATTTGTTACTTTGGGGGAAACAAAGGTATCTTTGGCTTATATGGGGTTCTCAAAGATGCGTATGTTTCATAAACAAACCCAAATACACAGATTTATTGAGTCACATGTGCTTCATAATAACACTTATGTACACGATAAGGAGCTGGGAAACATCACAGATCTCAAACTATCAAGTTTTTAACTTTTTAAAACTTAGTACCCCATAATACAAAAAGTTAACAGAAAAAAGAAAAATTCTTTAACAATAGACCTCAAATAAAGTTTTTGAAAACAATTTTGTTCCATCCCCTGGGATGCAGTATCTTGGTCGCATTGAAGTTCTGTAGGGTTCTTCGGGTTTCCTCATTACGATAGCAGATAGACCAAATTACTCTGGCAGCTTCTCCATATTGAGTGGGAGTCCTGAGGTAGTGCCACGCTCCAGGTGTACCTATAACACAGAACCGGAGAAATGGGACAGGCACAGTAGAAGCAGGAGACACAGCTGTTCTTGCCCCTGGAGGGAGTCTGCCTCCCCTGAGGCACTTGCTTAACTTGAAATCCGGGCTGAAACACGACGAATTTCATGTTGTTTTGTGTAATTACCTAGGAAAAGCTCTCCTAGCATGACAGGTTAAAAAATTACTTTTGCCTTTTTAAAGCTTTCAGTTATGTTTTTAGGTGATATTTAGGTGTGTGATGTCCAGCTTCTTTCACTTTACCAAGCTGCTTTTCTGTTTGACACCTTGGTGCCAACAGCAGCAACAGTCACAGATACCAGGAGCAGCACATCCCCTCAGCGTCACACGGGAGAGCACAAATTCTGACAGTTCACCTTCAGCTTCTCGTAGTGAGAGAGGCTGCTGCAGTGCTCATTCTTCGCTTCATCTTCACTGGTGTAGATGGCATTGCAAAGTCTGCAGATGTAGCAGACGACAGGGTGCACAAATTCTTGGCCTGCAACCAAAGGGCAACATGGTCCTCAAGGACACAGAGATCCTAATTTTGCACTTTATTTCTTGCTTCTAGCAGAAATCAGACTGACATAAACAAATGGAATCAGTTCTAACTACCCCCCATGCATGCTCAGTTTAAAAAAAAATTAATCATGATCAACCCAACAATATTAAACTTGTACTCTGCAGACAAAATCCGTTCTGGAGGAGAATAATATAGACTGCAAGCACAAAAAGCATTACATGAATTGAGCAGCACAGAGAAAATGTTTTTATTCTTATTTTGCATGCATGCAATCCTTAGTAGCCACAGGGGAGACCGTAGGTGCAGTCTTGGGGGAGCCTGACCCACCACTCCATAACGCCCCTCTATGAATCAGCAAAGCAAGCAGCCAATTGCCTAGACTCAAGTACGTCTTGCATTCACACCACATTCCATTGTTTAGCACTCTGCCCTACTTTTACAAGGCTGTGTCGTTACACACGGTAGCTTCTGTTTAATGTTTGTTCATGAATTGATTTTCCATCTGTTCACCTTCCAGACACTTGTACTGCTCAGGGCCTGGAACTATGGCTGCACGGTGTCATGTTGAGATTATACGGTGCATGAGCAATAATCGCCAGGGCTTTAGGTGACGGACGAAAACATTTATCTGGATTCCAGCTTTTCGGTACTATACGACCGTTTAGTTATGTCCACAATTTGGTTAGCAGATCAGTAGTACAGTGGTACCTTGGAACACGACCTTAATTGGTTCCAGAAGGCTGGTCGAGTTGTGATTTGGTCGAGGTCCAAGTCGAATTTCCCCATAAGGAATAATGTAAATGAATTTAATCCCTTCCAGACCCCCAAATGACTGCCTATTTAAACTTATCTACCTACGTAACTAATGATAAAAAGCATTAACAATCAATATAAAACTAGTACAAACATGAAAAAGCACAGATACAAAAGCAATAAACATGAAATAAATGACAATCCCACATCCCGAAACAAGAGCAGACACACGTGCACCACCTTCAAGTCTCACTATAATTTCCTCTTTAAGTTCTACAGTTACTAACACTGCTTTCCTCTTTGGTTTGCTGCTATCACTGCTCACTTTCTTAGGGGCCATGATTACTGTATCACTAAATGTACTGTAGGTACAGCACAAAAGAATCACACCGAACACTGGAGGTACCGCCAGACTGAGAGCGATTTATAGGCATCAGCATCCCAGCAGGTCCGTCTGCCTTTGTTTCAGCCCATCAGAGACGCGTCTCGATCCGTACAAGTTTTAGCAGGTCTGTTTTTTTTTTGTCGTGTTCTGAGTTTTCGGTCCAGTTACGGTTATATTTTTCTCGACTGACCCGTTCGAGGTCCGAATTGGTGCTGTTGAACGCATCTCGACCCATACAAGCTTTAGCAGGAACGGTCAAGTTCCAAGATTTAGGTCAAGTACAAGTCAAAAAACAGAGCTGGTCGAGTTAAGAGGCGTTTGAGTTCCAAGGTTCCACCGTAACTGTAAATATTAATTAAAGGCGTATTGTGACACCCAAAAGTTAGTAATTTGTATAAATTCGGCAAACCCTTATATCTAACAAACTTGTCGGACTTTAAACTGCAAAAAGTACTGCTACACCACCGGTGTCTTGTTTACCCACAATATCTCCTCTTTTAAAGGACGCTGTGGCTGCTGAGCTGTCCCTTTCTTCACTGCCACTTCAGTGACTATAGCGTTGTGATATCGTGCAGCCCCACATGGAACCTATCCCAGGCAGCACATGACACAAAGCCAGGCTGCAGGCTGCACAGAATACTAGTTTATTTACATTTTACTGCCATCTTTCACATTACTCACATTCCACCCCACACACCCTCTATTCACGCACTGACTAGCTAGCGGTAGAACGTCAAATGCTGCAGAACCTTTGAGCACCTCTCTTGGCCCAGGCTAACTTACCCAAGGGGGTGTGAGGCTGGTATGGTACAAGGGGGTTAGCGGTAGGCTCTGCTGTTGGCTCTGGCTTGTCCTTCGCTTTGTCCTCTGTGGTGTGACCCTCTGGTCTGTCTCTGGCCTGTGTTATGGGGCTCTTAGGGCTGGGAATCTGCAAGGAGTTCTGTGCATCAGTCAATCACAGCTACTGCACCACCCCAATCTTTTTACCAGAGAAATCTTCATTCAGAGCCCAACAGACTAAAAACTCAGATCACAAGCCCGCGCCCTTAAAAGCAACTGCACAAGCGTAAATAAATTTGACAGATCTTAATTTGGAAAAAGGCATAATTATATGAAAACATATGCAGCTCTCAGCAGTCTGCCGTGAGTTTGGTTATGCCATTTCCATGAGGATTATACTACACAGACTAACGAACTATGACCTGTGTGCTGATGTACCCTTGATCAATGTATATAAATTGTTTTACTAAAACATATTCATGGGAGTTTTACAACAATGTTCTGAGGGCAGAAATAAAAATGATTGGTTCAGAGAGATAACCACTCAGATTGTAGAGAAGGTCTGCCTAAGCAACTAGAGGAGGTGGGACCAACCAAATCAGATGTCTTGGTCCCGCCTTCTCTAGTTACTTGGACCCATTTCCTCTACAATCTGATTGGTTATCTCTCTGAACCAATCATTAATCATTAAGTAATACTCCCAGGAGCCTAAAACATCCATATAGGACTTGGAAAATCTTTGACGTCCATTTAAAATGAGTTGGATTCAGTTTCATTTTTACCTCCTAGGGAACGGCTCAACTCACCTGCCGCACGTCCCTCCCACCATCCAGGCAGTCAGAGGGCTGGTTGGCCTTTGTCTCAGAATCCTCTGTAATTAAATTAACCTCCTTCTGGCTGCTGCTCCTCTGCTGCTTCTCCTTCAGCTTTTCCTGCTGCTGCTGTTGGGGCAGTTGATGCTGCTGTTGGGGCAGTTGGTGCTGCTGTTGGGGCAGTTGGTGCTGCTGTTGGGGCAGTTGCTGCTGCTGTTGGGGCAGTTGTTGATTGCGTGCCTCAGGCTTCTCAGGTGAGGCCTCTTCCGCCCGCATGCACTGTCTCTTGGCAGGCACTTCCTCCTGGATCCCCGTGGACTTAGACGGTGAGTCAGAATAGCCGGTCTCCCTTCTGCTCTTCATCCTCTGCTCTGTCCTACTCTCCCCCTCCTCCTCACAGTCAGGCTCAGGACTCCACCTGTGGATGCAACAGCACACACCCTGAATAATCAAGCAGATTCCTAGCCAGGCTGCCCCCTCCCTGCAAAGCCTTGTATAAACCTGCTCAAGGACAGTAATACAGTGGAAACTGCTTATAGTGATCACGTCTGTCTGGGTGAAACTGATCACTATAAGCGGATGATTGTTATAACCAGTTTTTTTCTTCTACTTTATGTGTCAGGTAGATTGCCATCTAATTGACATTTGTATATTTATTTCATGAATATAAAGTGATAAAACAGAGTCCCTATTTGCTTAATTTTATTGCCTTTCAAAATACAGTACAGCTGTTTCAAATGCTTTTCAAATAACAGTACTGTACAAATTAAATTACTGAGCTGTGTATAACTTGAATATGCTATAACACAGTACTGTACTGTACATAATATTCAATTCAAATTTTTTTATACAGCGCATTTTTCCAACGTTACATTGTCTCGTTTTTGGCAGTTTGTCATAAGCTTTGATGAGTCTATATTTGTCATTGAGAGAGAATGACTTTTTCCCATCTTGTTTTCTGTGCACAGCAGGCAACTACCCAGAAGCAGACAGGTTATCGCAAGGCAATGTAGGGCTATGAAAGTAAAAGAAAAAATAAAAGAAAAATTGTTTTAATTTTTTCCATACGTTATGCTTAAAAAGACCCAAAATGAACACTGTAAGCAGACTACTTGATTACTATAAGTGAATTAAACAGTATTTCTACAGGAATGATTCTGTCCCAAGCTTTTTGATCCATATAAGCAGTTGATCACTATAACCATGATCACTATATGCTGTTTCCATTGTTTGTGCATATAGATACACGCATCAGCAGATAAACCTTCCACAATTCAAAAAGACTAAAACTTTTGTCCAAAGCAACATGCAAGTGTCAGAAGGGCGATTGAACCATCGCCCTTCTGACACAGGTACAGAGTCCTAACCTTCAGGGCCAGATGTGACCAGAATTATCCTTTCTCTAGATGGTTCTCTCTCACACCCCAAGCACTCACCCCCTTGTCAGTGCCAGGTACTTCCTCGACAGCTGGAAGACCAGAGGGCAGCCACGTATCTCCGTCCGCCTCAGCACCAGCTCCTTAACCGCTCTCTGGGCTTCCTCGTGTGTCTCCATTTCGATGAAGCCCTGGTCCAGAGTCAGAAATGCTTTCAGTGCAGATCTTAACCAAGCTAGCTTGGAAGAGCAAAGAAGGTCATGCAAAATTCCTCTCTGGAAACAAATACAGTTTCTGAGGCGTGCATCAGATGTACATAATGCCTTTGAGAAGTTACCAGATACCTTCTTGTGGCAAATGGCATTGACTGAAGGGGCAAATTCTTACTGCTAGAGACCCACCTGAAGGAACCCTTGGCAGGTTCACCCTCCCACTCAACCCAGAGAAACCAGCTCTCCTCAAAACCCACAAAAAAGGCCATTTTTACTGGTAGGACTATGTGAGAAGCTCCCCATCTGTCCATCATTTTCCTCGTATCTGCGAATCTCTAGGCACCTCTTGCCGAGTACGAATCAGGAAGTAGCGCTTCACCGTCCCGAAACCCTTCACGATCTTCACAAACTGCGAATCGGTGTAGTAGGTTTTGGGAAGGTTTTTGATGTAGATCACTTTCCCGCTGAAATACTCCTGAGAAGTAAACGCAAGGCGGGATTTTAGCAATAAAGTATACAAGCAAAAAAATTTATTCTTAGGCAGAAATAAAATGGCATTTAGCAACATTATTATTATTATAACAAACTGACCTCAGCTTCATCCTTGCAGGTTTCTTCTGCAAAACAAATACTTGGAGTTACAATTTGTCCCAGAAATCTGTGCACCATTACTTGCAGCAGGCTTTGGAGAACATGCAAGCCAACATATACACCCCGACATTCACGGAGCATGGCTTGAAGCAGGAGTACCTGCCGCTTCTTCAGAATCGTGCATCGATATAGAGGCCCTCCCAAGTTCCTCTTCATCTTCGTCCTCAAGCTCGTCCAGAGTAATGCACTGGTCCAGACTCTCAGGGACACCAGGTTCCTCCTGTGAGTGAAGGCCGATAAAACTTCAGTATAGTGATGTCATGATGATGTAATAGACATATGTGATGACAAATTATCAGCCCTTCGAACAGCAAAAGCCTAGGAAATTACTTATTCTTTATGAATCAAATATTTTAGCAGACAGCCTTATGTTGATGTCAGCCATCAACATGATTCTTGAAAAGAGAGGTAAGGAAATACTATACTAAAAATGTAGGGGATATTTTTACAGGATGTATTTAAGGTTGGTGGGTCACACGTTGCCATCTGTGCTATTCACAATATTTGCCTGGATGTTTAGCACCTCTCAGACAGCATATAAACGTAGACATTAGCTGCCAATTTTGTCATTGATTCTACTGGTGTCTAAAATCTAGATTCAAAAATCTTGAAAAAATATATAAGAAGGATGTACCTCCTCAATGGCTATTTGTACATGAGCCGGCATTCCGCTTGCTGAAGGTGCATCACTGGGATCTTCTGTTTGAAGCTCTGGTGACTCATAGCTCAATGTTGTAACTTCAGTAGTCTGTTTGTCCTCAGGCTGGAAGTCTGAGGAATTAGCCTCCACAGGACCAACCTTTACATCTTCCCTGCATTCTCCTTTGGGCTCTGCTTCCTCCACCGAATTTCTGCATTCCAATTCTAGGAGAACTTCATCAGGCATTCCTTCCTCCTGATCCTCACCAATTACCTCCATGCCTTCTATGTCACTGTCCAGATCACTGTGTCCTTCCCAGTTCCTTTCCCGACACTCTTGGTTCCTGTCTGGAGACGGTGAGGTCCCAACATCAAGGCAGCCCTCTGACTTCACAATGTCACTGTCGTTGCCTTGGATTTCCAAAGGTGTCTCCTTGACTGAGTCTGCTGGAGTCTCTGCTTCAGACAGAAGTGGGAGCTCGGTGGTGATGTCTGGAGGCTTGGAGCTATCCTCCATCTCACTGGACTTCCTCCTTGGGCTGGGAGACCTCCTCGGGCTGGGAGACCTCCTCGGGCTGGGAGACCTCCTCGGGCTGGGAGACCTCCTCGGGCTGGGAGATCCCCTCCTACAGTATGAATTTAACGTCTCGCTTCCTTCGGAATTCGTGTCAGGGCTCTCCTCTCTGGAGACAGGGGTTAGTAAGAGCCATCAATATATTAAGTAATCCTGAAAAACCAAGGCTACGAACCACTATGAAAAACAGGATGTGTGAATACTGATCAGGCACATTTTTCAGACACAAATTACAGAGCATTATATTAAATAGCAAGCAAAAGAAAAGCAATCAGCCTTACTTCAGAGTGCTGTACTCTGTCGAGTAGGAAACAAGGACATTTTTGCCTTTCATCTTGAGAGGATGGGAGGCATAATGTACCACCAGCTTGTCTGCGTCATCTTTGTTTGTCATTTCCACAAACACCTAAAGAAAATGTAACAATAGTGATTCCATAGCACCACAAAGATGTCAATGGACAGGTGACCAATGAAAGTGATCAGCGCTGCCATTTTACCCGATTCGGCAGGAACAATGAGTGTTTCACTTGTCCGAAACGTTTCGCCATTGCGATCAGCTCTGTGTTCTTCTCCTTCCCGGGTGGCAGCCTGGAGAAGCACACGACTCTGGAGCTCTGAAAATCAGACCAGGCAAAACGTTCAATCGTAGCCAAGTAAACAAACACCTAGCGACACATTATGACTGAGGTTAAACAGCAGGTGACCAGTGTCTGGTGAGTGCTGTGCTTACGAGGGCTGGTGCGGTGATTTAGGGTGACTCAACACGATATACGGTCTGTGTGTCTGTGTATATATATATTTGTAAATGACTTAATTTATCCCAATATTAGTGCTCTAGAGTGTTCTAGGGCCCGTCTGCAGTCCGAGATGTTGGTCATAAATTAAAAACAAAAAATCTTAAATAAAATAGTAAAAAAAGCATGCTGACATCGATGTCTGTACCTCCGTAAGGGTCCAACGATCGACATAAGTCACAGTCGTTTATTAAAAATAAATTTAAATTTAAAAAACTACTCATTTACTCGGCATCAGTGACATCATCCATGTTTACACGTGGATTTCAACATGCAAGCTTTATATACACTTGATTCACTTTCGCTTTCACTGAAATTATTTTCTGAATAAAAGATTATGATAGATACCGATCACTGGACCCTTACGGATTGAAACTCTCCAGCACCCAGCATATACAGCTGGTGGGATTAATTACACTCTTGATTAATTTTCGGTATGAATTTATTTAACATTTAATTAACATTGCAAAACAAGGACGAATCCTCATGGGGAAAAAAAAGAAAAAATCATGAGCATAGCGGTTGTGGCGGTAGCTTGCTATCCCCTGCGCGTGTCAGTAGCGTGGTATTGCTATATTGCAGTTACTACGACAGCCAAGTCCTTAGAGCACTGCCTTTTATGTCCGACTGCCCCTTCCACAATAAAATGTTCAAGGATCTACTCACAATTCATTTTAGGATTGTCTCAAGAAATTGCAATGTAAAGAGACAGAGTCATGCCAGGTAAGCAGCATGGGCGCTCTGATTGGCCGGCGGCTACGCAGCTCCATACGCAGCACATTCCCATGACCATCATTAAAATCACCTGCCCTTAGTGCCAGAGTAG